CTTCTTGAGAGCAACTATTCTCAAGTCAGGAGAGCTGCTCACAGCCACAGTCTCCATTTCTTTCTTTAACTTATCAAAGTATGCAGGGGGCTTGACCCCTGGAGTGAGCACCAATTTATGCGATCTGCAAATGGAGGCCACAAATAATTCCTCAGAGTGAGAAACGTACTTTTTATTAAAAGTATAAAATAATACTTATTATGGTTTATATATTTTTTATTATTAAAAGTGTGGCAAAACCAAGAAAAGGCCCCTTTGTCAATACTAGCTTTTCCTATTTGAACTAGTTCAATTTTTTGAGACTATCAATATTTGAGGTAAAAGAATGTAAAGCTCAGCTGTCTAGATTAGGGAATATAGGCTTTTAGCCTATCAGATGAAAGACAAAATTTTTTGAGGTAAAACTGACCCGTGCAGTAATGATTGGATGAATTGTATCCAATCACCAGCGAGTAAAATATTTTCACCTCAGTGGTGGTCAGACTCAACTGGTAACAATTGGTTAACTTGGCGATGGTCAGACTCAGATGGTAATGATTAGCTAATTGTTACCCTATCATCTTAATGTAAGATCTTTACACCTCAGCGGTGGTTAGATTCAGATGGTAATGATTGGTTAACCCGCACCTAATCATCAATGGGCAAAATCTTCTTACCTTGCAATGGTTCCGATCTGAGTGACATTATACTCCTCAGATTTGACTAAGGAGTCAGAGTAATCCTATTGTTAGGGTTTACCTTTTTAAGCTGATTTTTGTGGTAAATTGTATTATTCCAGTTATTAGGATTCCACTGAGAATCCACTAAGGTCTTTTTGCTGTGGGTACTCCTATCATTAATATCCACAGTATTATCTATAAATTGGGCAGGTGATGGGCCAATCATAATGGCAGATTCAGGAGCCCTAATACTTCCAACATTCTTTTTCTGAAGTTGAGAAAGAGAATGTCCAACAGCAACTTGATGGTTTGTAACTATTTGATGTCTTGGATTTGACATCTCTTTGAGAGATAATTTCATTTTACACCTGTGCTAATTTGATAATTGCATTGTGAGGGTTGTTATTTCTTGATTCAGTATTCACAGTGAGATTTTTCAATAATCTGATGTTTTAGATTTTTTTAATTTATTTTGCAAGTGATCCAATAAATCCAGAACTGATCCAGAATCCACGTTAACATTACGTTTGTTTTGGCCTAACAAGTCATTTATCAATGTTTGGGATTGATTGGTGCCAGGGATATCATTTATCTGAGATTCTTTTATAAATTTACTGATGTGTATCTCACTTGACTATCATTGCTTATTCCTTTTTTATCATTTCCTTGTGTAGGGATTTACTATTGGGGAATCAATTCCCTCAGTAAAGAAACCCTTTCAGGAATTATTTTAAATTTTTCCTAGTATTTAGGACATTTGTCAGGGGTTGCATTATTCCTGGGGCTTTACCTGTTGGCGCCTAAGCAATCTCCTTTGTGTTAAACCAAGGGACCTTGGGCGTGGGCACTGCCATGGTAGCATTGAAAAGATTTTGTTACATGTTTGTTTTCATAATTATTAGGTTTTGTTTCCTAGGTTTGCCATTGTTGGCTTATTTGCTGCATTAGTTGTGGGGTTGTTGGTTGTTTACATGTATTTTAAGTGTTGTCACCAATGTTTTATTTTACAAATCAGGCATTTATGTTCCTGTCATTGTCATTGTTTATTTATTGGGGTAAATTTTTTATTAGATAAAACTAAATAAGATAGATATACAAGGTTGTCTATCTAGTTGAGCTAGGCTCTGTTAGGCAGTATTCCCATCTGTAGCTTATGCTTTAGCTTAGTTGCAGTTTGGCTTCTCTACATGGAGCAGTTTGTCATGAATTACTGGGTGTGCTCTTTATGAATATGGTTTTGTCTTTACTAAATTATGAAAGTGATTTTGTCACAAAAATGGAAAATGAGATTAATAATGGCCTGCTAGTCAGGGGGCGCAAGCACCCAGAAAGCAATCCAGAATGCCGGAGGAATTGTTATCCAAACAACTTGATTGAAGGAAAGAAGAGAAGCAAATAAGGAATGATGACTAGCGACCACCATAGCTAAAATCTTGACTAACAACCAGACTGTGGCCTGGGCAGCAGTAGATTTCACTGCATAAAACTCTTCCGTATCCATGGAAGGTCCAGGATATTCTGATGAACCACTGGGAGGGGTATGAGTGGCAAGGTCATAAAACCTTTCCCAGCAGGAGAGATAATTAATAATGATGGTATATATCAACTCAAGAGGTCTTCCACAAGTGGGGATATCCTCAATAGGCCAATTGCTCAGTAACCCCATTTGATTAATGGGGCAGCAGCCTCATAATGATTGCCACTAGGTGTAGGGAGAGTATCTGTAACTCTCTCATTCCCAGTGAGGTGGTGCAAGATGCACAGCCATACTTCTAAGGGACTAGTTATTATAAGGAGGATGAAAAGGGCACTGCTAAGGATGCTGGAGCAAAAGGGACCCAGGGCAAGGGTGTAATACGCTGTATGTAGTAATTGAAAGCAGATAAATAACAATACTTGGTAGGACACCAAAGGTAAGTCCACAATCAAGCGGAGATCTGTGCTTAGTGCTTGGGTGCCTCAATCTGAAGGGGACCAGAGCAGCCCAACGATGCACCAAATATAGAGAACATTTTTGTTATAATAAAATAGCCAACGTTGTTAAAGACCTCCTCAAGCAGGTCCACACACAGGTGAGCCCAAAGAACCATATTTTAAAAAATGTAAGCTAATGGGAATTTTAATAAATAAGTCAACCAACAATGAAGGTTGGTCTCAAGGAAACATATTTAAACAATCAGGATAGAATTGTCAATTGGAGGAAGTGGTGCTAAGCCAAGATGCACCAATAAGTGCATGCTTCTTTGGCCAGGGTGATATATCTCAAGATTGACCAAATTTGAGTTATTGATTGTAAACATGGCTGACACAATTTTAAGGATTCAAATATTGAACAGTTTTAAACCCCATTTTTCAATCAACTGAACTGAACTGTTGCCATTAGTAATATAACTATTGAGTTTTAACTCCCTTGCTTTAAACAGGGCTGAACGTCACACACATCCCCTAGACTGACCTGGGCATATCTGGACTGAACCCAGCGCTGGTCTAGGGCATGATTGAGGTTAGGAAGGCCTGCCAACTTCAACTTTTTGGCCTTCTGATGACTAGCTAAATCTTTTCAGTTGATACCCTCAATTATGTTATCAGGCCATGACACTAGGGCTCAGTCATTGTGCAACCCTGTGAACATATTTCTGAGTAGCAGCAATGACAAACACAGGGAAAATTTTAAATAACTGATAATTTTAACTGGAAAGAGGTCTTGTTTATTGCAAAAAAATTGAGAATTGAACAACTGTACCCTTGAGGAATGTTTGCTTTAAGGCCTGGGACTTGGGGAATAAGTGAGGATGCATGAACAATATAATAATGTCACAACTGATTTTTGGTGAAATGGGACCTTGAAAGTAACTTGACACTGAATAGACCTTCTGCTGGCTATCTGACTCTAGCTTAAATTTTGCAACCAAATTATGCATCCCACCACAATTTTGTTTGGCTCAATGACATCTCATTTGGCAGGTGACTGTTAGCACCCATGGCCAGGCCACAGGGGCCCAGTCCCATTGGGTATCAAAGGGATTATCACCTATATTTTACTGGAGTTAAACTCCTCAATTATTTAGATTTTTGCTTCCTCAGCAAGAACCCAAAATTTCTCATTGGAGTTAAACCCCCCAATTGCTTTTTTTCCTCTTTGGAAGACCCTAAGATTGTCACTGGGATATGTGCTCACCATTGCCCTTCAGCCAGTATCCTCTTGCCACCACCACCTCCACACATCCCCTAATCTGCCAGAGTAGTTCTTGCATAGTCAGATAGGGGGAAGGGGGTAACCTTAGGGGGGGTACATTATCACCCACCTCTCATCCACCACACAGTCTAATCACCCTGGGTAATGAGGGGGATGATCACCTTCTTGGTCCACTTTTAGTGTAAAATGGGAATGCCTCATGATTGAGGCACAAAGGGTGCTCCCCCAGACTTACAGATGTTTAGGTGAAAATTTATCAATTATGCTAAGTGAGCTCTTAAACCCAAATTGTTTTTAATTTGATAGTATGCTATGTCAAACTATGCTAGGTGGGCTGCTTCTGAAAAGCAAATTTGTTTTAAGTCAAAAGATGACTTCACTTGATTTATATAAAATAACAGATTAAAATCATTTAACCTATTACCAAACAAATGGCCAAACATAATTTAGCCTATTAGACTAGATGGAGAAATGGCACACAAACAAAGGAACTTGTTTTTGTTTGTGTCAAAGACACTACAACGGGGATCTAAAAACATGGATTTTTTGTTGAAGACTATGTTTTGCCAATCTAATGAACATGCTTAAATTTTAATCTAGATATAGAATGGGGATTGAGGGAACACTCATAAAAATATGTATCTAATGATTCTATCAATAGTGGTTTGTGATACTTATTTTACTCAAAGATATATTTTTATCTACACTTTTTTGTTATATAAGCAAATACTTAATTAAATAAAAATGATAAGATGATTATATTAGATTAGATTAGATGCTATATCTACTTTTAAATAGAGGTGGTGGCACCATTGTCAACATGTCTAGCTTTACCTTGAAGGTGCAGATATAAATTCTGACATTTGCATATATAATAAGTTGCTTGTTATAGAATCCTATTGGGGGAAAGTCAGCCTACTAGCTGAAGTCCTTAACTTGTCAGAGATAACCCAAAATTTATCTACGACAATTGGAGTATTTTATTTATCAAAGTTCTAATCCATAGGTTTTAGTTAATATTTCTTATTTCTTAACTTGTTTTAGTAGTATCTGTCCTTTGGTTGGCCTACATTGGATACACATTTACTTTCAAACCTTAGTCTGATGCAACTGTAGCTTTATAACAAAAGTTTTACGTAAAAAAACTCTTGAGCGGGGAATTAAATCAGGGTCTCCCGCGTGACAGGCGGGGATACTACCACTATACTACTTAAGATGTTCCATTTCTTACCTTTATTACATAAATAAATTAAAGATTAACAAACATATTAATATATTAATTGATTTATTCTTTAACAAATTATAACTCTAGTTAAAGCCAGAGATAAATTTGCAGTTTATAGTTACAATTAGGATTTCACCCGTTATGGATAATATTAAAATAAGGTTTCCTCTATTTATACTTAAATATATGTGGCGTTTAACAAAAATGTTTGAACTTTATTTTTACACTAGCCGATGTTGGCAACAATAAATATATCAGTATCAATAAAGGTATCTATGCAGTTTATATGCAACCTTGACCAAACCATCGGCTTAAGTAAAATCCTTCGGTTCCTTCACCCGATTAAAGCTTTTCTTATAATTGCAGCCCATTTTACAGCACTTTTGCTTGATATCTGCCCTTCAAGATCTTTACTTGGAAATCTTCGTCCAATTTTTTGGAGAGCCGAAAATCACAAAAAAAACTCAAGATAACTCGATTAATCTTGTACAAAGCTGATGTTTTAGATTGCTAAGACAGAAATGAATCTTTCAAGTGGAATAATTTGCCATTGGTATCGCATATCGTACTTTAGGACAGTTTGATATCACAGATTGCTAAACTTAACGGCATTTTTTAACCGAATTTGAGAAAGAAGGAGGTTCTCAATTCGACCTGTATATTTTTTGTTTTTTATTCTATGTTTGTTCACGCATAACTCTGAAACTACAGGACCAATTTGAATTCCCTTATCTTTTAAAAAAAGCGGATGCTCCAACTTAGCTCCCATTTTACTTTTGTAAGTATTGGTCCAGTATCTGACCATTAATTTAGTAAGTATATTAAAATGGACCGGAAGCGATGATTCAATTGTGGGAATTTTCATCAATGGATAAACTTTATCCGGCATTGGTGAAGCGATAGCTTCGAAGCAACTTTTGCCATGATATATGTCCTATGGCTGAGGGTATGTTCAAAAACCAGGCAAATATGAGATCATAGCGGGAAGAGCTTAAATCATTATAGTTGGCTATCGTTTTGCATAATTTAACCAATAAAATCAACTAAATTTAAAAATTGAATTATTTTTTAGATGGCAACCAGTAAATTTAGCATAGATTGACCAAAAAAGCACTTAAATTTAATAAAAATGAATTATTAGTATATTTGTTTATGAGATACTATATATAATATAAATATAACGAGATTTATTTTTATAAGGCATAGTGAGGGTTCAAAAAGGATATATAACATAGAGACTTTTTTAATAAAATTAGAAAAAAACTACTTTTAAAATGAACTATTTTTTTGGAAAAAAGAACTGGGAGTAAAGTTTTTTGGGAAAAATAAAAACCTTCTTCAATTTTTTTGGGAAAAAACCTCCTTAAAAAAGCACTAAAAAGTATGAAATAATTGAGAAATTATGCCTCCTCAATAACCCTTTTTGAAGTTAGCACCATATAACTGACTTATAATATGTATTTATAATATATATATGCAGCACTGTATATTCTAAGTTGCTTATAGTTTACACTTGGACCCAATCCAGACATCTACTTAAAAATTTCATTCACTGACTGACTTACTGACTGACATCTGAAACCTTCGAATCTGATAGGGTCAATCTATTTGGGTGAGTGGGTGAGAATTGGCGAATCTTATCGAATCTGAAATTATCGAGCCTGATGGGTTCAATCTATTTGGGCGAGTGGGTGAAGATTGACAAATATTGTTGAATAATTCACCAAATTGCTCACCTGAAACTCAACAAAAATCAGTATTAGAGTTTAAGTAGATTAAGTAGTTAGGATAATCAACTCACCAGCCACGAGAGCAACAGTGGAGCTGTTAGTCTGAGTGGCTCGAGAGTAGCGTTGGCACAGCCTATAGGCTGTCAGTGTGAGCTTATCATCTGATAAACTTTAAATACTGTAGCGAAGCACGGGTATCTGGATATTAGGTTTATATATTTTAAAAAATGCCTAATTTGGTTCTCATAATTAATAAAATACTTTTGGCAAGTTAAGTCGAAGTTGATTTAGTAGTTTGGAAGATGTGTCACTTGCTCAATGATTTTAAGTATAAAGAGATGTTTCGGGTAGCAGGTTGGTGTTATTTGATTGATTCGATAGGTTTTTTTTGTTTGGCCGAGTGGTTGATGGCTTTTGGTCGAATCGATAGGACACAGTTTAGTTTTGAGGGGTGATTAGTTATTAGTTGTTTTGATAAGTTCAGTTAGGGTTACCTGAGTTGTTGGTGGTTTTCAGTTTGTATCGATTGAGCAATTAGATTTGGCTGAGTGGTTTTGTTCATCTATAATATAAAATCTAAATTAATAAATTGAAGATCTGAAATTTTATAGACACCGTAGCAAAGCACGGGTAAATCGACTAGTAAAATATAAATTGTATTTGTGAGCAAAATCCTATAAGTCTGGTTGACAGATGGCACCAACTTCAAAAGGGTTTATTAAAGAGGTATAATTCTCTATTATTTCATACTTTTTAGTGCCTTTTTTGAGGTTCTTTTTTCCCAAAAAAGTTTTTTTTTATTTTCTCGCTACTTGAAACCCTGGTCAGTAAACAATTTTGAGGTAAAATATTTTTTTCAATTTTCCATCTAGGCTTACTAATCTGATCCTTCAGTTAATTGCTAAATTCCATATTGAGCGTTTTGTTTACTGTAGCTAATATTATTGCACCTACTGACCATATATCACTATTTTTTGTTGCTTTTCTTTAACTTACTCTGGGGAATATTTAAATCTTGCAATTGATTTTTAACTACCTTATAGACTAGCTAGAGGTTTTTAAATTTGGCACACTTATGTATCTTTGATGACAATACAATAATCTATTGAAAATTTGATTTTCAGTTTTCAAAATATAAATAACTATATGCATTAAGTAAAAATCATATATAATTCAATGGTAGTTCATATATCATTACAGCTGAGCAGTTTGATATTCAGTTGATTTGATAGTTTCAATAGATTTGCCAGATGGTTGGTGGGTTTAGGTTGATTAATAAGCTTAGTTGTTTTAGTAAGCGGTTAGTGATTAGTTGATTCAATAAGTTAATTGGTTTTGGTAAGTTGTTGGTAGTTTTTGGTTGTTGGTTGATCTAAAAGTTCAAAAATGTTTTTCCCAAGCTTTACTTAGGTTTATCTTAGCTTTTATAATAGTATATGGCCACCCATAAGTTTAAGAAGTAATTAAATTTATTAAATCAATCATAAATCAAAAAATAAACTTATCAAACCAAATAATATACCATCAAACATTTGGCCAGACCCCAAACAATCTTATCTTTTTTTAGCACTAGTGGTTTTCTAAATGAGCTTATCAAATCAATCAAAAACACCACCCAATTAGCCAAAATCAACTTAACTTATCAACAACCAAAACCTAAAAAATGTATATATGTGACAAGAAAAAAGTTTTTTTAATTTATAATTGTATTTCAATAATCAAAAACTTCACTATTTGATTCCTCTGTACAATAAAACTTTAAATAAAAAAGATGTTTAATATTTTTTAAACATATGAGAATTTTCAATATATAACTTATCTTTTTAAACCAATTTTTTCTACTAATTTAACTTATGCAATGTATAATACTTATTTGAGGGGGCCAACCTTGGGACAGATAAACTGCATCAATAGACAATGTATAATAGTAATTTAATTAAAGTTTGACTAAAAAAGAAATTAAAAATAAAAAATAGATTTTTTAAAAAAACTTGCTTTTCTTAAGAGAGAAAATGTAATGCATGGCTCCTTCCAGTGAGCCACAAATGAATTGGGAAGCAGGGCCCAAGTCAATGACCAAAGGGCAGACTAGGCCCCTGAGACCATTCTCCTAGTGCATGTGCTACAGAAGCCATGGGCAAACACCCCTTGAAGGACAGTTGCAAGTATGCTTACCCCCAGCAACATACTCTAACTCCAAGACAAGGTGTATATGGAGGTGATAGCCTTCCCAATCTCACTCTCAAAGTCCAACTCCTGATTGTATAGGCCAAACATGGCTGCTGTTAGACTAAATAATCAATATAAACCTTGGAAGACAGTAATAAAAATAGATAAGGCTTAGGAATGGCTTTATTTGATATATTTAGGCAAGTTGATAGAAAATGGAACTAGAAAACCTCCCATTCTCAAGTTCTATCTCTTATAGCTCTCTGCTGCAAGCATAGATCAAGCTCATTTGCCATGCCTGATGTTATGTCTTTTGAAACATGTCATAAGCAAACCCCAATTGTTTTAGGCCAGATTAAATTCTGTAGTGGCTAAACCACCATACCCAAGAAAAGTTCCAATTCTGATTTGAATCCACCTTTAACCTAGAAACCACCCACTTCAAAACCATTTGGTTTGACCCCAGGCCTGATGAAACGTCTAACTGTCAACCTTCCCCAGTCTTAATCTCAACCTGGGGTCTAGCCAAGACTAACGCTCTCTCACTCCCTCCATCTACCACAACAGCCTGTCCTGTCTTATCAAAGATCAGGGCAATGTGATGTTGAGGATAAACCTCAACTGTCACAGAAAATAATAAAAAGTTAAATAATAAAAAGTAAAAATTTATAAAGTAAAAAAAATTAACCAAAAAAGTTGCATTAAAAAGTATAAATAATTTTTTGCCAAATAATTACTTTAAAAATTTCATGTACAACTTCAAGAAAAGCAAGGCATGCACACTTACATACAATTATACATAAAATCATACAAAGTATATAAATATATAAAATATTTGAATATATATGTAACATTTATAATATAGCACATATATTAATATATTTTGATTATATATTTTATATATTATTTATAATACTGTATATTATATACTATATAATATTAGATATATAATTCTTCTGAGTTCAATACCAGTAGATGAAATTTGGGTAGATGATTAGAAGTTCTCACTAACACAGCCTCCAATTGGTCACCAGCATAGCTGGTGACCTCATTTAGTATCTGCGCCTCATATTTACTTTATAATCAAAAAAA